AAATATTCCTTAATGCTACCCTTGGCAAAGTGTTAACTACTGTACTCCATCTAGATTTCTATAAAGTGATGACGTGATATGTTAGTTTTAAGATATCCATTCCTGATTATAAGCTGTGCTTTCCCATTTTTGTATCGTTCCTTTTATTCAGTGTGTGATGCCTTCTCTCATCTCCTGTCAGATGCACTGCAAAACACTCTATTTAAAAACAACCTGAACCCCAGTCATAGGATTGTTAGTGTAAACAAGTCAGTATCAAGTTGCTCCAGAATATGTGCTTTAAGTGGCAACTTATGGAATAAAAGCAACATACTAGCAAGGGGAAGGCATATTTGTCCAGGATGAGAGTATGGGGAGAAAGGAAACAAACAAACAAACAAAAAACTCACTGATTCATTCATTCACTCAGAAGTTAATGTATGAAGAACTTACCATGTGCCAAGCATACTTTTCCCAATGCAAGGCTCTGGCTTTGATTATATTGGTAGATGAACATGGAAATCAGGGACTGAGAGAGTAAAAACCCAGAGAACCCTTCATAATCACTGGAATAGCTCATAAACAGATCTATGAATAAAAAATTTTCTCCAGTAGAGACTGTACAATATCATCTTTTAAAATAAGAAATAGAGTCTTTCTTTTCCAGATTTTAGAATTCCTGCCTCATCTTATGACATTACCTAGTTTGAAGCACCATCGATCACTGACGGTGGGCATCCCAGAGGTAGTGGTTTTGGGGAAATCAAAAGGGGTCTGAAAGATCAAAGAATAGCCTATGTGAAGAGACAGCGAAACCATAAACCCTTGGATGTAACCAGCATCATTTTCCCCAAGGCAACTGTCTCATTAAGTCTCCGAGGAAAGGAGTGAAGGGCCCTTGTGAAGGTCAAGGTTCTGGGACTGGATTAGACCTGTCTTTACAAAGAGAACAGCTCAAGGCAAATGTATAAAAATATAGCTTTGGGAGTGGCGTGACTACTTCTGACTACGCTTTGATAGCTGAGAGAAAATCCATCTGCAGCAAAAAAGTTTAAACTTTGAGTAAATATTTCTGGTGAGATAATAAAAGGTGAGTAACAGTCAACACTGCAGTAAATATCTGTTAATCCTAGAATGATCATGGCCCAATTTGCAAAAGAACAGAGAGGTAAAAATGCATTTACCGGAAGTCATTCACCCATCATTCATTCATGGCTTCAGCACCATTTATTAGATAATTTCTTGGTGGCATAGAAGTGCAATCAAGGGCTAATAGTGATTTGATGTTCTGGGATGCCACATGCTGAGAAAAAAAGAATAACCTAAATATCCTGCTTTAAAAAAATAAAAAGAACAATAGGTTTCCTTTTTTTGATGATCAGATGACCAGAATATAAACTTTATACCATTTTCTCTTTCTATTCTGTGCCATGCCATTTATACAAGGGAGAAGTAAAGAAAAGAGGCAAAGAACAGAGGGACTGAAAACCACATAAAATATCTATGCTTGCTTATGAATAAATTCAAGTATGTCCTGCTGTTAGAAAAGAGAGCTTCATCTTAGTTTTACCTGGTTGTCTGGATGAGACAACTTTTCATCTGGGTCTGGGGTCATCAAGAGGAGGCACACTTTGGACCATCTTTCTGCTCCTCCATCTCACCACCCAACATCGTTTTTATTGTTCTACAACCACCCCTTGTGTCCCAGTTTGTTCCCTTCTACCCGGATGACTGTTTTCCCACCTCCCAACGCTGTCTTGTGAGATCTCTAGGCATGAGCTGTTTGCCAGCCTCCCTTCCTGCTCTCAGCAGCCTGTTGGTCTGAAGTTATTAAGTCAGAAAACACCCAACTGGGAGGAGGTTTAGAGGCTGAGTCATTCTACTGGAGAGAAGTTCCTGTGAAAACAATCATTCGCTGTGAGACTGTATTCATTACAAGTTTGCTCGTTGCTTTCTTTCTTCCTCTTTAGTTCTCCAACAGGGGTGGAAACCCCTGGAGAAGTCAGCTCTACAGTACACCTGTCCAGATGTCTCTCTGAGGCTTCCCTTTATTCAAAGGAATCCTGTTTGGGGTGTTTCCTCTCTCCACTCTCATTCATCATCAGAGCTGCTTTACTTTTATCTATACCCAGAGCATGCTCAGTTTTTCTTATTTACTTGGCACCCATCAAACCTCATCAAAGGAAATCAACCCTGAATATTTATGGGAAGGACAGATGCTGAAGCTAGAATACTTTGGCCACCTGATGGAAAGAGCCGACTTGTTGAAATAAATAGACCCTGGTGCTGGTAAAGATTGAAGGTAGGAGAAGGGGATGAGAGAGGATGAGACAGCTGGATGGCACCACTGACTCAATGGACTTGAGTTTGAGCAAACTGCAGGAGACAGTGAGGGACAGAGAACCCTGGCGTGCTGCAGTCCATGTTGTTGCAAAGAGTCTGACACGACTTAATGCCCGGACAGCAACATTGAAATATATGATAGTAAGTAACTCAGGTACAGAGGTTTCTCAAAACAGAATAAAATATTATCAATTGCTAGAGTCTTGGAAGACAGCTGAGGCTCTACTTGGCTTAGCAGAAAGCAAAATGCACTATGCGGTGACTATGATTGAGATACCCTGGGAGAGGTCTCAGGCACTCAGGAGAAACACTTTCCCTTCTCGACGGCTCTTTACATTCTAATCCCCGTGACCACCTTCTCTGAATACAGAATAAAGTGAAGGTGTCTGCATGTAAGTCTATAAATTTGTACATTTCTAATGTCAGCATGGCAAAAGGAAGTTAAAGAATCAAAATAGAATGAGTGGATCAAACTGCTGGGTGCAGAGGATTTTGATTATGTTTTCCGGGCCCCACAATCATGTCACTTTTTCACATGTCTCTCAAGCTTGTAGTTGCCATTTTAGGATCACTTCTCAAAGGTCTACTACATTCATCTATTCAGCTAGCTACCATCAACTTCTACTGTACAAAGGGTAAGATTTGGGGGAAGTAATGTTAAAAGAGACCCAATATTCAAAAAGAAGGAGAGTTATTTTTTATGTGCAGATCTATAAGATGAGATAGAAGGTCCTGCAGGATAGAGTGGAGGCCCCAAAGAATGGAGACATCCAGTTAACTGTATCTGATTTGCCAAGTTAGGAGGCCCAGATCACATGACTCAGGCCCCAAGCAGCCTACAACTTCCCAAAGCCATGGACCATTTAGTGGAGACTGATAGAGCCATGTGTTTGATCTTTTCCTCATTGAACTAAGGTTTAAAGCAGACCTAAAATTTTATCTGAAACAGTCCCTGGTGTTATCAACTAAAACAGTGAAAGAAAAACACTTTAAAGTCATTTCCACTAGGTTGGGAGCAGTTTGACACAGGAAATCTTAACTATACTGGAGCAGTACTTGATGAAGCAAGCACAATTTACAAAACCAAAACCAAAGAAGGTCTTAAATTTTTCAAAACCAAACTGTCTTTGGAAATGTTCTGTGCATACTTTCACCATCACTACATTGAAAAAACAAGCAGTTGTCCAGGAGGGCAAAGGAAAAGTAGATGCCATGGCCATGAGAACTAAAAGCTAAATTTATCTACAAAAGTAACTTGGTGTTGAGGAGTTCAAACTCTGGATCTGCCTTTTAATAGATGAGTGTGACCTTGAGAAAATAATTTAATTTCTCTGTAATGTACATTCCTCAATTGTAAGATGCCAAAGTGAGAAGATCATAAAAAATTAATAGGTTTGCTTTCTTTGTCAAATTTATGGTTACTGAAGGGGAGAAGGGGGAAAGGATAAATTAGGAGTCTGTGATTAACAGATACACACCACTATATATAAAATGGGTAAGCAGTAAAGACCTACTGTATAGCACAGGGAACTCTACTCAGTACCCTGTAATAATCTGAATGAAAAAGAACCTGAAAAATAATAGCTATATGTATAACTGGGGCTCTTCCCTGGTGGCTCAGTGGTAGAGAATCCACCTGCAGTGCAGGAGACCCGGGTTCAATCGCTGGGTTGGGAAGACCCCCTGGAGAAGGGAATAGCTACCGCCTCCAGAATTCTGGCCTGGAGAATTCCATGGACTGCATAGTCCATGGGGTCACAAAGAGTCGGACACAACTGAGCAACATTGAAAAAAAAAATATGTATAACTATCTCACTTTGCTGTACACTTGAAACTGACACAACGTTGTAGATAAGTGTACTCCAATATAACATTTTTAAAAATCATAAAAAGGATCCACTGTATAGCACAGGAAACTATAGTCAATAAGTCAATAACTCGTAATAATCTATAAGGAAATAGAATCTGAACAAGTTGTATGTGTGTGTGTGTACACTTGTTTGTATTGTACACCTGACACTAGCACATTTTAAACCAACTGTACTTCAATAAAAAATACAAAAGAATTAGTGGGTTGCTCTGAAGAAGGAAATGGCAACCCACTCCAGTATTCATTCTTGCCTGGGAAATCCCATGGGAGGAGCCTGGTAGGCTACAGTCCACGCGGTCGCAAAGAGTTGGACACAATTGAGCGCCTTTACTTTACTTTACCGAAGGTTAAATCGACGTTCAATAAACATAAATTCTCTGTTTTTACTGGCGATAATAGGGTTGGCTGGTGGCTGGGTCATTCATCAATGAGACAATAGAACAATAAAGAAACAGTCTGTGTAATTACGCATCCCTATCTCCCATATTTTTTTCCAAAGCCTATATTCTACACATTATAGAAATGCCAGCTAAATTGCAAAGCTAAATATTACATTTCATTCTCATGTCAAAAATGGAATGTTGAGAATATAAGATGATGGTGTTGCCACATGCTTTATGTTACAAACTTCAGTAATAGCCCTAAAATACTAGGACTGGCAATTTCCAGAGTTAAAAACGATCACCATCGTTAAGAAGCCCTAGTTCATATGGAATTTCTCATTCATGTTCCTTTATTTTATGGGATATTTTATGCATCTCTTAGTGGGCTTCCTCCACAAGTGCAGAGAAATCAGCATTCCCATTACCATTCATCCTTGTCAGCGTCACAATTGCAAAAGTGCCGAATGTCCAGGCAGCTCTCATCCAGGCCGCAGTCACATTGCTGAACTCCGGGAGGGGCGCCTCCCCAGTAGGGCTGCCTTTCATTGGACCGCCCGATCCACCAGGTCAATGGAGTCCCATCTGCAAGACAAGATGCTTCACAAGTCAGCAAGGGGCAAGCCTGACGTGGCACAGGGGGGTCACAGAAACTGAGATGAATATGTCCTGAAGAACATATATACCTCGTATGGACAGGGACACAAATACTCTTCATGGAAGTATTTATGTAAGTAATTGTGTACAGATATGTATGTGTATACATGCATACATACGCACGCACACAAACACACACACACATATGGAGAGAGATGGAAGGAAAGAGAGGAAGAAAGATGGGAAAAAAGAAAAAAGGAAAGAAAAAGGGGGAAGAAAGAACAGAAGAAAAGCAAGCAAGGAAGGAAGAGGGCAAAGGCTATGTATACACAGTGGATATGTCTATATATACAGTGTATGTGTGTGTGTGTATATATGAACAAAGGATATATATACACAGTGTGTATGTATATATATACAGTGTATGTGTGTGTGTATATATATATATGAGCAAAGGATATATATATATATACACAGTGTGTATGTATAGGTATATATATATATGAAAAAAGGATATATATATACAGTGTATGTGTGTGTGTATATATATGAACAAAGGATATATACACACAGTGCATATGTGTGTGTATATATATATGAACAAAGGATATATATACACAGTGTATATGTATATATACACAGTGTATGTGTGTGTGTATATACATGAACAAAGGATATATACACAGTGTATATGTATATATACACAGTGTATATGTGTGTGTGTATATATATGAACAAAGGATATATATACACAGTGCATATGAGTGTGTGTATATATGAACAAAGGACATACACACACAGTGCATATGTGTGTGTATATACATGAACAAAGGGCATATACACACAGTGCATATGTGTGTGTATATACATGAACAAAGGATATATACACACAGTGTATGTGTGTGTATATATATGAACAAAGGATATATACACACAGTGCATATATGTATATATATACAGTGTGTGTGTGTATATACATGAACAAAGGATATATACACACAGTGCATATGTGTGTGTATATACATGAACAAAGGATATATACACACAGTGTATATGTGTGTATATATATGAACAAAGGATATATACACACAGTGCATATATGTATATATATACAGTGTGTGTGTGTATATACATGAACAAAGGATATATACACACAGTGCATATGTGTGTGTATATACATGAACAAAGGATATATACACACAGTGTATATGTGTGTATATACAGTGTATGTGTGTGTGTGTATATATGAACAAAGGATATATATACACAGTGTGTATGTATATATATACAGTGTATGTGTGTGTGTATATATATATATGAGCAAAGGATATATATATATATACACAGTGTGTATGTATAGGTATATATATATATGAAAAAAGGATATATATATACAGTGTATGTGTGTGTGTATATATATGAACAAAGGATATATACACACAGTGCATATGTGTGTGTATATATATATGAACAAAGGATATATATACACAGTGTATATGTATATATACACAGTGTATGTGTGTGTGTATATACATGAACAAAGGATATATACACAGTGTATATGTATATATACACAGTGTATATGTGTGTGTGTATATATATGAACAAAGGATATATATACACAGTGCATATGAGTGTGTGTATATATGAACAAAGGACATACACACACAGTGCATATGTGTGTGTATATACATGAACAAAGGGCATATACACACAGTGCATATGTGTGTGTATATACATGAACAAAGGATATATACACACAGTGTATGTGTGTGTATATATATGAACAAAGGATATATACACACAGTGCATATATGTATATATATACAGTGTGTGTGTGTATATACATGAACAAAGGATATATACACACAGTGCATATGTGTGTGTATATACATGAACAAAGGATATATACACACAGTGTATATGTATCTATATACAGTGTATGTGTGTGTGTGTATATATGAACAAAGGATATATATACACAGTGTATATGTATATATATACAGTGTGTGTGTGTGTATATATATGAACAAAGGACATACACACACACTGCACATTCATGTATATTTACATGGATATCCCCCTCCCACCCTCTCTTCCTTCATCTCTTCCCGTCTTTATCCTCCCCTTTCTTTCCTCCATTTTTCTTTTTTCCTATCTCTTTTTCTCCTTCCTCTGTCTTGCTCTCTCTCTCTCACTCTCTCTCTCTCTACACACACACACATATATACAGAGAGAGAGATATCCATACACATATATATACACTTTTGTGAAAAGTATTTCTAGAGAATAATGTTGAGTTCTCGCGACGTTCAGACTCAGTTACAAGCTCAAATGCTAATTAAATCTGGCAGGCATATCACAACTGAGTACACTGGGTTAAATTTTAGACCAACAAAATTGAATATATACAGAAATCAATTTTCTTTTAAAGTCACAAAAGGATATACCACAGCGTGCAGGCCAAGATGAGCCTGACTCGGTCCTCAGTGGGGAGGGGTCCACACAAAAGTTGGGGAGGGAGTGTTGGCTCGGACGACAGGGTGGCCCTGTTTCACCCCCACTGATTCCTGTCACGACAAAGACTAGCTCCAAGGTTATCATATCTTTTAAACTGTTTAAAAAGTCATCATATTTCAAGTACAAATGTATGAAGATTTGGACAAAAAATATTATGAAAGTCAATACTACATGGGTTCATATTTAACCCATACAAAGCTAGTATGTAACCTCTAAATTGTGGTTTATGTAATTAGTAGAAAACTTTTTCTGAGTCTTGTCCCTGTCATTTTTTTTCTTTGCCAGTTTAGTAATATATGCTGAAGTCATCCTCTATAATTGAAAATGTTTAAGCAGATAAAAATATTATCCAGAAGATGATAATATATCCAAACAACAGATATATATAGGCAGAGATGTAGGTGTTATATACCTTAGGTTGAAGGAGGTTAGGCTTAGGTTTTCTTTGGAAATAGCTGATCTGTTTCTGTTTGGTATGCACCAGGCACTTAATGTGTATTTATCTTTTGAAAGTGAAAGAAACAATTATTGAAAGCTATTTTCATGATTTATCATTTTAAACAGAATAGTAACATTTATCTGAGAATGATATTAGGTTAGAATTTTGCCTTGTCAAGATTTGATTTCATATACAGCTCCTGATGTACAAATATGTAATTTATAAATTATTCATGTATACAAATAGCAACAACTTTCTCTGAATTGGCTTAACTGCTAATATCCTTATGGAAGTCACTGAGGCAAATAGGAAGAGAATGACAATCTAGAGCTTCCAAGAACCTGCAAGTGATGAGAAAAAGATAAAACGGGTACTGTGAAAAGCAAAAGCATCTTAGGGGTGCTGAGTTGGGGGCAGACAGACTGAAGGACCATCCTCACCTGAAAACTACTACCCTCCACTCTAAAATGTTTCAATTCCCATAGGCATACTCATGTGGATATGTGGCAGAAACCAACATAATATTCTAAAGCAATTATTGTTCAATTAAAAACAAATAAAAAAAAAGAATTCTTGCCTTTCTAACCCCATAGAACTGCTCTGAATAGAATTATGTACACAAGATAAAAAATAAAATGTTTCAATTCCCTTTATTACCTTTTAAGTTAGAATTCCAGTTAGAGATGTCTGTTAACCACTGTCTTCTTTTTAAAGAATAATTTTAAATCTGTTTTACTTTGTTCCAAACAGCTGTAAATGGTTGGACACTGGTTCAAGTGAATTACTTTCTTTCTAACCACTAGCTCAGGTAAGCTGTATTCAAGAGGGTTTATTTAGAGCAAAAAGCATTCTCAGGCCTGGGGTAAGCTGAAGTGGGTCCGTCCAGTGAGTAAGTCCAGGGAACACAGGGGTGAGACATTGTGTGTTTAGCCTTCCTGGCTGGTAGAGTGGACAAGAGGCCTCCTGCCAACACAGGGGACATGGGTTTGATGCCCAGGCCAGGAAGCTTTCACATTCTGCAGGGCTGCTGAGCCCTGGGCCACAACTACTGAGTCTGCATGCTGCAACTTCTGAAGCCTGTGCTCCCCAACAAGAGAAACACCCATCATGAGAAACCCAGGGACAAAAGTGAAGAGTGGCTTCTGCTTGCTGGTACTCCTGTGCACAGCAGTGATGACCCAGAGGAGCCAAAAGTGCAAACCAACCACAAAAAAAACCTCATGTGTTTGAATAAGTTTTCCCAAGTTGGCTTGTACAAGTTCCCAAGTACAAGAAATGAGAAGAAATCATTCCACTTCTCTGTCTTGGCACTGTCCAAACCTCTCCTCCATTGTGTAGAATCTTGATCACATAGTGAAGTTCAGTGTCATCATGGGTTATTTTTATTTGTAAGCTAAACCAAGGTTGTGATCATATTAATAGTGTTATTATCAGTGGTCTTAGTTCTAAACAACCATCTTGTGCATGCAAGCTGGTGCAGATGTTGCCTTCTAGTAGTTTCACTAGTTCTTATTTGGTAACTTATAGCATCCCAAGACTTTGTTTTGCTTGGAATCTATCAGTGCCTGTACCAGTGAAGCTTGGGGTCCCCTTCTCATATCTGGAAATCAGTATAAAATTTGCAAATTGTTTTGACTGATTGATTGAATACAAATGAGCAAAAGTTTAAGGATGGGAAACAAGGAAATAAAGACAAAATACACACACACATTTGAAATCAGGAGCTTTAAATTATGTTTAATTTTGGGCTTCCCTTGTAGCTCAGTCGGTAAAGAATCTGCCTGCAATGCAGGAGACCTGGGTTCAATCCCTGGGTTGGGAAGATTTCCCCTGGAGAAGGAAATGGCTACCCACTCCAGTATTCTTGCCTGGAGAATCCCATGGACAGAGGAGCCTGGCGGGCTATAGTCCATGGGGTCACAAGAGTCAGACACAACTTAGCGACTAAACCACCACCAATTATCTTCTTAGATGTCCATCTTTGTGCTTATTCCTCTGCAGAGTACAAGTTGAAATATAACAAATGGAG